GGCTCTGGACACACTGTGGGGGAAATCAGAACGGGAATCTGATTATAGCAGTGTTAGAGATGCAAAAGAAACTGAATGTCCAGCCCCAAGAGTTCTCCCAACTCAGTGTCAGAAAAGACTGAGATCATGACACTGGGTGGATGAGCCTGGGAATCGTGAATCTCCGAATTCCCCAAATTTTTCTGTCTGGTAAAGGCAGCCTCATCCTCCTGCCAGAGAAGAACAGCTTTTGCCTCCCTAGAGACTGTGTAATTATTATGCTGGAATTATAAGTTTGCAAGAACCGAAGGCCTGCCCTAATCATTTCTCATTGCTTTTAGACCAATAACCAGATCAGATCTCAGCACAACACGGGCATGGAAGTACAATCCTCACGCTCATATCACAGGCATTTCAAAATCTAGCTAGCACATATCAGCAGGAACTGAAAGAATGCATAGGGATTGGGTCTTGAGAGAGTTAGACAGAGACAGGAAATGGAGGTTGGATTTTCAGATGCAAGAACTCATTAACGTGATCCTGACCCAAGACCAAAGCCAATGTCTTGCATTTTTCCATTCCTTTATGACTTATTTCTTTGTTCCTTTAATCATTTCAAAAGAAAATAATTGTACAGCCCCAAGAGTTCTAGATAGGTTCTACGATAGGTTGCTATTATACTTAAATATATTGTAGTAAGTCCATTCAATGAAGTATAATTCATCCACTTAAAGGAATGAGCTGTAAGACACAGGAGACGTAAAAAAGCATATTTTAGGCATCTGTGTGTACCCCCACCTCAGATCCTGCTGGTGGCTGCTACTCGCCTTACCCAGGTGTTATGGCGGTATTTGGCTTTTCTTCCAGGCCTCACCATACCTCCCACCTTTGGCCTCCTGGACTTTTTATATTTACTTATACTTTTCTAGTTAAAATTTTCCATGTCTACTGCATTTGCAGTTTTAAAGAATATTTAAAAAGGCAAATAACACTTTACCTGGTATAAGACTTTAAATTGACTTGGCACCCGTAGCTCTGTGGTTAGGGTGCCAGCCACATACACCGAGACAAGCAGGTTCAAACCCAACCTGGGCCTGCTAAACAACAATGACAACTGCAACCAAGCATTGTGGTGGGCGCCTGTAGTCCCACCTACTTGGGAGGCTGAGGCAAGAGAATCGCTTAAGCCCAAGAGTTGGAGGTTGCTGTGAGCTTTGACTCCACAGCACTCTACCAAGGGTGACATAGTGAGACTCTATCTCAAAGTAAATAAATAAATAAATAAATATACTTTAAATTGAACATATTGCAGATTTTTATATCATTAATAAATAATTTTAGGCAGCAGAAATAAACAGTTGAAAAAAGTGGTCATATTGAAAAATGAGTTAAATGTTCATGTTTTTTTCTATCAGTTTTAACATTCAGTCATCCTATATTGAAATGTTTCTGTACTTAAAGTAGGGAATATAACACAAAACAATGTCTTTCAAAGTGGTATTTATACAACATAGAGAAAACACATGTAAATATGTAAATTAACTGATTTTTAAAAAATCAATGTGGATAAAGAAGTAGATGAAAACTTTAAAAATCAACTGGTTAAATTATATTATTTATTCACTTGTGCTCAAGATCAAGATAAAGCTCTTTATCTCTGGCAAAAATTTTAGCCTTTTAAGAGAAATTGAAATTGATTTCTTTTCTCTAATTATATTATAGCCCCTACTTCCTATGACTAGTATTTGAGCATGAATAAAAGCTCTATTTTAATATTCTAATAAATACTCTAATGCTTGTTTAGCCATAATCATGCATTTTAAATTGTAGCATGAGGCCTCTTTAAGATTAACTTGAGTTAAAATTTTTTATCCTAAAAGGGAAAAAATATCTCCTCCAGAGATCAGCATGACCATGAAGTAACAGCAGTATTAACAGAAGGTGATTATATTAGTTATTCCAAATTAACTTTAGTCTTATTTGTTATTACTTTTGAAATGCAATATACAAATAAACCACTTTGATTTTACAAACTAACATAAAATTTCATGTAATTCTTACAATATACTATTGAATAATTTCTATCTGCTTTCTTGGCAATAAGGACAAACGATTGATTTCAGGCTCCAAAAAGTAAATTTATAACAATATAAACCATTCTTGTGTTTGTTGTAAAGATAAAATACTTTGAAGACCCCACTATTAAAAACTGTAAGAGGTGAGAAGAAATTATTAATCAATGGCTTTATAGCTTATTTTTAAAATATATAATGAAATAAAAGTATACAAAAGTAGGTAAAGTTGAAAGCATATAAATTCCCTACAGACAAGCACAATTCTTTTTTCTTTTGTTTTGTTTTGCAGTTTTGGGCTGGAGATGGGTTTGAACCCGCCACCTCCGGCGTATGGGGCCAGTGCCCTACTCCTTTGAGCCACAGGCACTGCCCTGGTTTTGTTTTGTTTCTTTCCTTGCTATACTGCCCTGACTAGAGTGCAGTGACATGATCACAGCTCACTATAATTTTTAACTCCTGGGCTCAAACAATCCTCCTGCTTTATCTCAGCCTCCTAAGTAGCTGGGACAACAGGGGTGCACCCCTGTGCCCAGCTAATTTTCTCTATTTTTAGTAGAGATGGGGTTTCACTCATGCTCAGGCTGGTCTCAAATTCCTGACCTCAAGCCATCCTCCCATCTTGGCCTCCCAGAGTGCTAGGACTACAGACAGGAGCTACCACACCTACCCTTACACTTCTTGATTATATGCATATGTGCTCTTTTATGATTTTTACGAATTCATATCATCAACCTAGTTAGCAGAGAGGGATAATTTCTAAAAGAAAATGATGTTTATTAAGGAATAGGCATTATGATCCAAATATACATGTCCTAGTAAACTATGAGCATATTTGGAAAGGAAAAGGCAGGCAAAGATGTTTAAAGGAAAAGTGAGGAGCAGCACAGACTTGTTTTAAGATAATTATCTTTGGATGCAAGGATCAGTGACAAGGGTGGCATCAGTCCCAAGTTGGACAGGTGGATGTCTCTGCAGAGGTATTTTTTTGTATAAGGTTGTGACGGCCTTTGTACAAGGTTGTGGGTTTTGTAGACACTCTTGTGATAGGAATCTGTGCACGAGAACCCTCCATTCACGGCTTCCTCTGCTCTGTCAGAGTTTTTAATACAAATGACTCTGTTTTGACAACACATGTTTTAACTAAAAATAATTCTCCTAAATTAGCTATTTCACACAAAGGTCACTACTGAAAAACATGACAACCATAAGGGGCACTTTAAAAGGCAATTGTTTGTGAACCTCTGTTAAAAGTAGGTCCAGGAATTTTGCATTCAGAAGTAATGTTAGAGAGAAAGAGGTCAGGGTGTATTCAACAGAAACCTCACATCCCAAACAGGCTATGCTTATACAGGACAAAGAGGCTCGGCTTACGCAGGCCTCATATCCATACCTAAAGATGACAGAGGTCTACATTATATAGCTTGAAACACATCCATATCCAAGGAAGAAAGAGACCAGGGTTCATACAACCAAGAAAGTCACATCCGTCAGCATATAGAAGGATTCAAGGGTTTACATATTCACAATGTGCGTATCTATAACTCAGAAAGGAAGAGCCTGACCACTCACACATTGCTAGTGGGAATATAAAATGGTACAGTCACTGTGGAAAATAGTTGAGGTATTTTTAAAAGCACTCAACAAACATTGTACCATCATACCACCCACCAATAGCGGTTCTGGGCTTATCCCAGAGAAAGGACAATCTACATTTGTACTAAAACTTGTACAAGAATACTCATAGTAGTGTGTTTTGTAATAGCCCCAAACTGGAAATGATTTCACACCTTTCAAAGGGAGACGGGTTAAACCAACTGTGGTACATCCATACCACTGAGCAGTACTCAGCATTAAAAAGGGAACATAATATTGACACATTTATACCACTGGGAATCTCAATTCCTCGAACAGAAAAAGGTGACAAGGGTTTTACAAAGCGGACATGCCGAATAAATTTCCAGAGAACAATGCTGAAGGAAAAAAGCCAAACCCTCAAGGTGACATACTACATAATTCCCCTTATACCAAATTCTTGAAATGGCAAAATTCTGTGAATGGGTAATAGCTTATTGGTTGCCAGGCATTAGGGGAATGGAGATGGACAGAGGAGGAACGGCAGTAAAAGGACATTGGGGGGGGTCTCCTTAAAGTGAGAAAATGGCCTGGGTGTTATGCGGACCTAACCTCCAGGTCATTACACATGGGGGCAGTGCGTAAAGGGTACGCAGGGATCTCTCTTTATTTCTAACGAGTGTCAATAAACTATTTAGTTAAAAGAAATAAACTGAGTTGAGCCCTCCAGTATTTGCACAAGACCCAAGTATTCTGCCAACCCCTGCTTGGAAAGCCTAGCAGTAGAGCAGTAGCCAGGCTGGGGTCTATCCCTGGGAACAGTAGCCCTCCCGCAGTGGGGACATTTCTTCCCAAGTGCCCTGAGTACAGGAGTTGGCTCAGAAGAAGAACAGAGAGCAAAGAAGACATTCTCAAGGAGAGACAGGAACACCAACATGAGGCATTCAGATGGGTAAAATAAGAGAAGGCCATTGCCTGGCTGCCCCCAGAGTGTAGACTACCAGCAGTGCGAAGCTGTGCGGTTTGAACACAAGCACAGCTCGGGACACCCACACGAGCGCCCTCCCCCACAGCTGGGGGAAGGGGAGGGGGCCCGGCTGCCTCTGGGTTCCTACACCTCCCCTCCGCCAGGTGGAGCCGGGTCGCGCACGGGTGCCTCGGTGGTGCGCAGGTCACATCCTGGGCTTAGGGAAAGCTCCCTGAGGGCGGCTTCAGGGTCCGATCCTCAGCTCCCCTTCCCGCCCCAGGCCCCAGCGCGGGGTTAGAATTGGACTTTGCCCGACTCTCCAGCCCCTGAGGTTGTCTCTGGATCTCCAGAGGTAAGAGGAGGGGAGGCAGGAACTAGGCCGCCGCCGGCCCTCAGCCCTCGGCCCCATGGCCCACCTGCGGACCCACGAAGTCCAGCAGCTGCTGCACAACAAGTTCGTGGTCATCATGGGGGATTCCATCCAGCGCGCCGTGTACAAGGACCTGGTGCTCCTGCTGCAGAAGGACTGCCTGCTCTCCTCCAGGCAGCTCAAGGCCGAGGGCGAGCGCAGCTTCGAGCGGGACGTGCTGCTGGAGGGCGGCAGGAGGGACCGCAGGCGGCATGGCGCCCACTGCCGCGAAGTACGTCAGTTCTGCTCCGGCCACCACCTGGTGCGTTTCTACTACCTCTCGCGCCTGTACTCTAATTACGTCGAGGACGTTCTGGGGGAGCTGCAGGCGGGCCAGCACATCCCGGACGTGCTGGTCATGAACTCCTGCCTCCGAGACCTCTACAGGTACGGCTCGGACTTCCGAAGGAGGTACCGCGAGCACCTGCACAGCTTGTTCCAGTGCCTGTCCCGCATGCTGCCCAACGCCTGCCTGCTGGTGTGGACCACGGCCATGCCGGTGGCCCACACCATCTGCCGGCACTTCCTCCCGTCGGAGCACCGGCACCGCCGCTCCCGCCTGCGGGAGGACGTGCTGGAAGCCAACTTCTACAGCGCCGCCGAGGCGTACTGGTACGGCTTCGACGTGCTGGACCTGCATTTCCATTTCCGCCACGCCGGCCACCACCGCCAGCGAGACGGGGTGCACTGGGACGCGCGCGCGCACCGACGCCTGTCGCAGCTGCTGCTGACCCACGTAGCAGGGGCCTGGGGCGTCGACCTTCCCCGCCACGACGAACATGAGCGCGGCAGTATCAGGGATGGCCTGGCCGGCAGACATCCAGGACACGCAGACAGGAGGCAGCCCCGAGCCCACCGAGACGACCGGGCCCTGTCCTCGCGGCGCTCCGCGCCCCGGTGCCACCACGAGTCTCGGCACCATCACGGGCTCTGTCACCATTGTAGACATCACTGCATGACCCACCACCGACACAGCTGTTTGCACTCCGACTTGTCTTCACGGCGCCAGCAGTTCTCCAGGGATACCTCCGGGCGGCGGCTGGGCCCCAGCAGCACAGGCTCTGCCCCGCAGGGAGGCAGAGGTTCTCCCCTTCATTCTTCCCGATGTCCCTATGGCCCACACAGATGCCAGCGAAGGTGCTCGGATCACAGACAGGGCCACAGGAGCCATACCTAGACCTAGGGGAAAGACCCATGTCTTTATCAACACAATCGCTGAACCCCTCCGGGGGCGAGGCCTTCAGCAACCGGAACTGGTGGGCGGTGGGGTTCTTTTAAACTTCCTGCTCACCAGTGAACCTCCTCACGCTTTCCTCTTTGCCACAGCTCCTACACCTCTTCTTGGGAGGAGACAAAGACCCAGATCACCACGCCACTCTCCTGTTAGCATTTCAGCAGAAAACACGTGAAAAAGTGGAATTGCGCCTCTCGTTTTAAAAAAAGAAAAAAAGTTAAGTTTTCCCTAAACGTAAGTCTTCAAACAGTGTTCACCATTGACATTCTTCCTAAAAACAAACCCCCAAAAGTAAAAAAAAAAAAAAAAAATTGATCTCTAAACTTGCCAAAACATTTCAATTAAAACTTCAGTTTCACCATTAGTTTTTGCCTATGTTCATAGATCTTAATCGCCAAAACTTTCACTGTAACTTGTCTTGCAGATTCTTTAATTAAATTTGTGTGTATTTCAACAAGGCATGTACTTAAGAAAAAAAAAGTATTCGCTAATGCAAGGTGGTTGTTTTTTTTTTCTGTTAGAAACATAATCTTTACTCTCAAGCTCATCAAATACCTAGCACATATATTAGACTTTAATTTTTAGAGCAACTTCAGGTTTACAGGAAACTTGAGTGGAAGGTACGGAGCATTCCCATGTACTGTGATTCCACCCGGGCACAGCCTCCCCCACTATCAGCACCCCACATCAGATGATACATTTGTTATCTTGGATGAACCTACATTGGCACAGCATTACCAGCCCAACACCGTAGTTTATGGAGTTCATTCCTGGTGTAGTGTGTTCTGTGAGTTTTGACAAATGAATAATGAATGTCAAATTCATTCAATAATGGGTCATTATAGTACTATAGAGAATAGTTTTACTACCCTAAAAATCCTCTCTTCATCCCTCCCTCTTCCCAACTTGTGGGTCTATAACTGTCTCCATAGTTGTGTTTTTCCAGAATTTATATAGTTAGAATATAGCCTTTTCAGATTGACTTCTTTTGCTTAACAATATGCATTCAGGTTTCTCACATGTCTTTTCATGGCTTAATAGCTCTCTTATTTTTAGTGATGAGTAACATTCTATCGTCTGGATGTACCACTGTTTATCTCTTCACCTACTAAAAGACATCTTGGTTGTTTCCAAGTTCTAGCAATATGAAAGGAGCTTCTCTAAACATCTGGTGTGAAAGTTTTTTGTGAGAAATTAAGTTTTCAGCTCATGTGAGTAAATACCAAGGGATGTAACTGTTTTATCATGTGTTACGAGTATGTTTAGTATTGTTAAGAAACTGCCAAGCTGTCTTTCAAAGTGGCTGTACCATTTTCCATTCCCATCAGCAATGAATGGGAATTGTTGAGCAATTTTACATTGTTACTTTGCATACATGGGAGTATTTGCTGTTATCGGTGTTTCGGAGTTTTTTTGAGAGATATAAATTTGGGTCTAGTTTTGTTTGTTTGCTTGCTTGCTTGTTTCTGCATGCAGATGTCCAGTTGTACAGTATCATTTGCTGAAAAGCTTATCTTTTCGACATTGCACTGCCTTTTTGAAAGATCAGTTGACTGTATTTGTGTATATCTACTTCTGGGCTCTCTACTCTGTTCCATTGACCTATTTGTCTATTTTCTTGGTAATAATACCCTGCCTCAATTATGGTAGCTGTAGAGTGATTCCTAAAGTCAAGTAGTGTTGGTCCACTGACTTAGTTCTCTTTCACTAGTGTGTTGGCTACTCTGGATCTTTTGCCTCACCACATAAAATTTTAGACTCACTCCACAGTTTACTCTGAGTTCCATTGGGATTACATTGAATCTACAGATTAAGTTGAAAAGAAATGACATACTGACAATATTGTATTAAAAGTTTCTCTTGATGTTTCTTTTTAACCCATGTGTTATTGACAAGTGTTTTGCTTAATCAGGTATTTTGAGATTTTCAAGCTACCCTTCTGTTATGGATTTCTAGTTTAATTTCACTATGATCTGAGAGCAGATATTGTATGATTTCTGGGGTTTTTTGGAGTTTTTTTTTTTTCTGTTAAGATGTGTTTTATGGCACAGAATGTAGTCTGTCTTGGTAAATGTTCCATATGAGCTTAAGAAAAATATGTTACCTGCTATTGTTGAATGAAGTATTTTACACATGTCGTTTATATCCACTTACTGATACTGCTGCTGAGTTCCACTCTGTCTTTACTGATTCTCTGTCTGCTGAATTTGCCTTTTACTGGTAGGGTGTTGAAATTTCTTAATATAACAGTGGATTTGTCTATTTAGCCTTGGTGTTCTATCAATTTTTACCTCATGTATTTTAATGTCCTGTTGTTGGGGATATACCCATTAAGGATGGTTATGTCTTCTTGGCAGTTTAACCCCTTTGTCATTAGGTAACATTCCTTTTTATCCAGAATACTGTTCCTGGCTTTGAAGTCTGCTCTGTGAAATTAATGTAGCTACCCCAGCTTTCTTTTGATTAGTGTTATTTTGATATATCTTTCTCAACCCCTTTATATTTCATCTAGATGTATCTTTCTATTTAAGGTAAATTTAGACAATATATAGTTGAGTCTTTGATCCACTCTGTGTCTTTTTTTGGTGTGTTTAGATCATTGATGTTGAAAGTAATTATTGATATTATTGGATTAATATGTTCATGTTTATTATTGTTCTTTTTTCATAGCCTCTACTCTTTTTTTTTTTTTTTTTTGAGACAGAATCTCATCATGTCACCCTTGGTAGAGTGCCATGGCATCACAGCACACAGCAACCTCAAACTCTGGGGCTTAAGCAATTCTTTTGCCTCAGCCCCGCCAAGTAGCTGGGACTACAGGCAACTGCCACAACGCCCGCTATATTTTTGTTGTTGTTGTTGCAGTTGTCATTGTTGTTTTAGCTGGCCCAGGCCGGGTTTGAGCCTGCCAGCCTTGGTGTACCTGGCCAGCGCCCTACCCCCTGAGCTATGGGTGCCACCCTCTTTGTACCTATATTTGTCTTACTTTTTTTATTTTATTTTTTTTTTTGCCTTTTCTGTTTTTAATTAAACATTTTGTATGATTATGTTTTCTCCTTCCTTGGTATCAGTTATACTAATTTGTTTACTTTTTTTGGTCTACTTGCAAATAGTGCTGTACTGGTTCTTGGATAATGCAAGATATATATGTAAGCTACAGTCACCAAATATATTGTTGCCACTGTTCAACCAATTAAAAATAAAACTTTTCTTTTACCTTAACTGTTTCTTGTCTCAGTGTTTTTCCGTTCCCATGTGGAGCCAGTTTTCTGACTTGTATTATTTTCATTCTTTATGAGGAAATTGTTTTAACATTTCTTGTATGGCAAGTTGATTGGTACCCCTAATTTTTGTCTGATTGGGAAAAATCTTCACAGTCATATCTTAAAAATACTGTGGGTTTGTTTGTAGACTACCACAGTTTATCAAATTAATTCACTTACAATCACATGTACTTTCCAGTGCATGGGAAAGTTATGTTTATTCTATAATCTATTAAGTGTATGATAGCATTATGTCTAAAACTATGTACATACCTTACTTTATTGCTAAAAATGTTAGTGATCATCTGAGCGTTCAGCTAGTTGTGATCTTTTTGCTGGTAAAGGGTCTTGTCTCAGTTTTGATGGCTCCTGACTGATCAGGGTAGTGGTTGCTAGAAGTTGAGGTGGCTGTGGTAATTTCTTAAAATAGGGTAACAATGACGTTTGCTGCATCAATTTACTCTTCCTGTCATGAAATAGTTCTCTGTGGTGTACAATACTATTTGATAACATTTTATCCACATAGAACATCTTTCGAAATCGGGGTCATTCCTCTCAAATCTTGCCACAGCTTTATTAGCTAAGTTGATGCAGTATTTTAGATCTTTTGTTGTCATTTCAATGTTTGCAGCATCCTTACCGGAAGCAGATAACATCTCAAAAAAAACACCTTCTTTGCTTACCCATAAGAAGCAGCTCCTCATTTGTTTAAGTTTAATCAGGAGACTGCAGCAATTTAATCGCAAGTTTAGATTCCACTTTTAACTTTAATTCTGTTGCTGTTTTCCATGTGTGCCATTACTTCCCCCACTAAGGCCTTGAACCCCTCAATATCATCTACAAAAATTGATATTTTCATGTCTTCATACGAATCTAGACTGGCAGCTACTTTCCAGAAGGTTTTTTATTTGCTTTGCCTATGTAGATCAGAGGAATCACTGTCTGTGGCACTTCTGTCCTTATGAAATATATTTCTTAAATAATAGGACTTAAAAGTTGAAATTACTCGTTAATCCATGGACTAAAGAAGGTTGTTAGGCTAGCAGACATAAAAAAATAATAATAATCTGTTTGTACATGTCCATCAGAGCCCTTGAGTGACTAGGTACATTGTCAATGAACAGTAATACTCTGAAAGCAGTTTTGTTTTGTTTTTCTTAAGCTGTAGGTCTCAACAGTGGGCTTAAAATATCCAGTAAGCCATGCTATAAATAAATGTGCTATTATCCAGGCTTTTTTTTTTTTTTATTTATAGACCATAGGCAATGTAGATTTAGCATAATTCATAAGGGCTCTAGGACTGTCAAAATGGTAAACAATCATTGGCTTCAATTTCAAGTCATCAGTTGTATTAGTTACTAACAAAGAGTCTGCCTGTCCTTTGAAACTGTAAAGGTAGGCATTGACTTTCCTCACTGATCATGAAAGTCCTAGATGGCTTCTTCCTGCAACAGGAAGCTGTTTCCTCTGCATTAAAAAGGTGTTCAGTGTACCAGCTTCATTAAGTATCTCACCTAGGTCTTTTCTGGATAATTTATTGCATTTGCTGCTTCACCTTGTTCATTTTTTTTTTTTTTAAGAAGACAGAGTCTTGCTATGTTGCCAGGTTGAAGTATGGTAGCTATGCACAGGCACAGTCCCACTGCTGATCAGCATGGGAGTTTTGGTCTGCTCTTTTCT